AATAGCATTATAAATAGAGAAAAAAATAAAATAATGATAGAATGAAAATAGAAAAAAAAACTAGAAAAATCAGAAAAAAAAGAAATTAAAAAAGATATTTATATAGAAAATACTAGAAAATGCAATGAAAAAGTAGATAAAAATGCGAAAAAGAAAAGAAAAAAAAATATTGTTATTAATCTTTCCTTTATAATCAATCCTTATAATCCTTAAAATCAAATAATTTTAATTATCTATCATCGAATATTTATTGTATTGTATGGTCACTTATTATCATTATTTATTATTTTATTATTATTATTATATTATCATGATTATAATCACTCATCATTATACGCATTAAGTATTATTACATACTAATGATTAAATCATTCGTTAAAATTTCTCATTCATTCTACCATGCATTTATTTATCATTCATATTAGAGATTAATAATAAGTTCATTATGAGGAAAAAGTTTGCAAACAAAAAAGAGGGATATTAAGATAGAAAATGAAATATTTATGGAAAATTTAATTAAAAAAATATTGGAATAGACAAAGAAATAAGAAAGAAAAATAGAGTTATTTAATAAAATTGAAAAATAGAGTTATTTAATAAAATTTAAATAAAAAAAAAAAGAAATAACAATGTTTAATATTCAACAATCATGATCAAATTAAAGTTGATAAAAAAAAATTATTATAATGAACAAGAATAGAAAAAAATAACAAAAAAAAAATAATAAATGTATTTAAAAATCATAAAGATAAATGGATTTAATAGAAGAAAATAAATACATAGAATGCATTTGTATAAGATAGCAAATAAGCAGATAGTAAAATAAAGAAAAGGAGAAAAAATTAATATGTTATTTTAAAATATAGTTTAAAATTTTAATTAAAAATAAAGATTTTTGAATATATATAATATAATATAATATAATAATATATTATATGTATGTAATACATATATAATTTATTATTATCTTGATAATATTGATATGTTGAACAGTTTTCAATTACATTCTTCAAACTGATTTTTTAAAAGATTTTATAAAAAATTAAAAGAAAATTGAGCAAATTTTATCATCAAAAAAGAGTAATGAAAAAAGAAAATTTTGTTTCTCAAAGTGGAAATTATAAATTATAAAATATATATATTAAATTCTTTCATGATATAAATGTCATCTATATTCTCTATTAAAAGTTATAGTATAGATTTTATGAATCATTTTACGGCAAAATAAGATATTTCTTTCTTGAATTTTATTCATCAATGAAGCTCTGGAAATTCATTCATTCAACTATGAAAATCTAAATTTATATAATGTGTATTACTGTAATAATCCATATTGGTTGTATATCAGTGAAATGTAATAATAACTAATCAATATGCAGAATTATTTGTAACAAAATAATTATCGTATTTTATCGATAAAACTTTTATTAGAGAATGTTATGAATATTTTACATGAAATATGTTAGCTTATTAGAAAATATATCGTCAAATAGTTATTAAATAATATGACTGTAACACAATGTTTAACATATAATGCTTAAAATAATTGTGAATTTTATTCATATCGATGAATAGACAATATTATAAGTCCTCGATTTCTTGATTTAATGTCATTGGATTTCTTTCTCTAAAAAATTCTAAAAAGAATTGTTTATCAAGAAATGCTAATTATGCCGGAAGACACGAAAGAACGAATTATTGCGGTATGTACAGAATAAACTCAGAGATAATAAAACGTGTATGTGATTTAATAATTCAAAGATTTTGACTTTGCTTCGTAACAAACGAATATTTTCTTTAAGATAAAAAAAATCATTTCATTGATAATTCTTTGTATTTCTTTCACATAAAAATAAAAATTCAACAACATTGATAAAAAATATATTAATGATTTTAAAATATCTTTAATGCATCATAATATAATATAAAAAATATTTACATTACATTATGTTATTATTCATATTAAAAATTGTATATGATATTTTTTCATGTTATTACATATAAAGATAACAAAGATATAAGTGAATGTACGTGGATAAAACTATAAGATAATATAAAGCATTCTATATATATATATATATATA